CTTCAATGTCCATGTTCCTGCATAGAACTAACAGTATGAAGTGATTTCAAGTATGAACACTAACAAGAGACATCCACTTCCTTTGGCACATCCTTTTTGTCCTCAAATACTACATTGTCAAATTCCTCATCTCCAATTCCATAATTTCTAGCATCTCATTGTTGTGATCATTGATGAAGCCCTAATTCTAGCCCGGGGCGGCGGGGGGGGGGGGGTTGTTTCTTGTGTGAACACTGATTGCAAAGTAGTAGCATAGGTTGATGAAGCGAAGTCAAGACAACAGGCAGGGGTCTTTGAACAATTTATTGCCACATAAAGCAAATGCACAGAGCAATTCTAGCATTAATGAACTAAATCTTTCTACTTCTAGAGAGGATAAACGATGCAAAAACTTGTATCGTAGGTCACAAATAGGAGTATTCCCTGATTACAATTCTATGTATGTTGTTTCTGCGGTTCTAATTTTGTAGTCCTATAGGCACAAATTAATTTAATTATGGAAAAAAAACCAAGATGAACGGGAATGAGAAGTGACAGTAACCTTGTCCTTTTCCCTTGCCGATCATGCTAGCTATGCGTAGTGGCGGAGACAGGGGGACCAGCAGGGGCCCTGGCCCCCCTGACATTGGGAATTTGCTGTTAATTCACTGATGAACAGTGCATAATTAGCAATATTTTGATGCTAAAAATCTATTTTTCTATGCTTTGGCCCTCCTTAACATACTTTGACGGCACTTGGCCATCCTGATCCACATTTCCTGGCTCCGCCAGTGGCTATGCGGCCATGACAAGCAGAAGATGGCGGTCTCAAAAACCTAGCAAGGTGACTAGAGCAGCCTATCTATGAGAAACCCCATCAAGGAGAATCCATGAGGGGGTTGCGTAGAGGCAACTTCTGCGGGAGAGAGATGAACTCTAGTGGCGACGACATCGGCGGAGGAAGAGGAAATCCTAGTCGTGGGACGATAGGGGGTAAAATGTTCACCTGGAATGCTATCGCAAGCCTATTGCCCATGTGCATCCTTCTTTTTCTTAATCATACACATGTCGATTGTATGCTCGCTGTATTTGTATCTTTGATGCTTGTTACTCCCTCCGTTTCAAACTACTTGTCGTAGAGATGGATGTATCTAGAACTAAAATACATTTAGATATATCCATACCCGCGACAAGTAATTCGGAACGAAGGGAGTAGTACATTATGGGTCGATATAAAACGTCCTTTATAAAAACAATCAACTCATCAAGCCATTTCATGATCTTTCAAAGGTACCACTGCAGTTTTCAGTAATCAAATCGTACGGTTCAGCTGATACACACAAACCGGACGTGAATTCTGTGCTTACACCCGATCTCGTGGAACCAATCGCACACGCGGTCTCGCTTCTGGACGTTCGACTTCGACGATTAGTAGCACGTAGCCACGTAGTACTAGGATGCTCCTACCCGATGACTGGGATCGGAGCATATCCCTCCGGCTCCTCCACCTTAGCCGCGGGAGCGACGGCAGCGACGACCACGGCGGCACCGAAGAGCACGACGACGAGGGCCGTGAAGTTGACGAGGAGCGCCTCCGGGCCGTACTTGTCGAGCCCGGAGCTCTGCAGGAACGTCATCTTCTCCAGGAACCCGAGCTCCGCCGTGGCCAGCGTGAGCACGTAGACGAAGAGCCCGAAGAGCGCGTGCCACGGCAGAGCCCCGCGCCTCACGTCCGGCGCCGCGCCGGGGAAGAAGAACGTCACGAACCCAAATATCCACTGCAGATCGAGCACACCTTACATTAGCCGATCCGCCGGAAGAAAACTCTGCAAAATCCTGCATGCGCAGGCCATGGCAACGGCCGGTTCGAGTTACCTGGATTCCGTAGAGAGAAATGGCTCCGATCCCGAGCCAGGAGTGCAGGCTGTAGAGGTTAGCGATCCCGCTCTCGTTGTGGAACTTGAAGGCGCAGTAGATCCCGACGGCGCCGAGGACGATGGCGATCGCGTGGAGGATCAGGTGGGTCAGCTTGGCCGTGTCGTGGCTCAGTCCCGGAAATACCTTGTAGACCATTATAGCTGCCAGGACGGATTATTTGAGAGAATAAACCGATCTGTGTTCTAGTAGATGTGTACACTGTACAGTACCACCGACAGAGGCAAAAAAAGATCAGGGAATTCTTGTACGGTTCTTTAGCCTTACCTTCACTGCCAAGGATAATGAAGCCGATCAGCATAAGAACGGGGTGAACCTGCATTTTACAGCACAAGAAAAATATGAACAATTGAACTGATGGTCTCGAAATAACAACGGCAATTAAGTTAAATTATGCCACACTACGGCCATAAATCCTAATTTAAACAGCATCAATCAACCCAGTCTGGGTTTTTCAGTGATCCTTTCGGGACTGACAGGCAAGAGGGCAGAGAATTTAATTAGGCTCCTGTGCAAAAACTTGCACTAGTACCCGAAATATAAATCTGAGGATAAGGATGGCTTTCCACGTGCTCTGTCCAATCTTATCACGCTTTGAAGTCTCACCGCTATTTTATTGGGTCCAATTAAATTCTGATCTACAAGTGCCAGAACATTCATTGACAAGGAACATGAGCTAGCTGCAGGGCAATCGAGATTCAAGAGCAGTTGAATTTCTCAATTGCAGCATTTTTGCTTGTCCCCCCGATCCCCATTTCGAGCATGGTTCTCCCCTAGATACCACTACCTCTGTTCCAAAACGTAAGATGTTTTAACAGTTCAGTTTACCACCTCCGTTTCTAAATGTAAGACGTTTTAGCACAGTGAATCAATCGGACACAAGCCAAGAAACCAACAGCTCGAAGCCAGAGCTGAGGCGAGGCTATTCATGTGATACGGGGCCGGGGTGAAGAATAATATTTCCCTACAACCTCAAGGGAGGTATACCGAATAATTCTCTCTGTCCCTAAAGCTTCCACGGTGATGTGACTTGCAACTGAAGCGATGGTAAGCCTGTGCCTATCCGACGGGGGCGGTTTGCAACAGGGGAAAAGAAGAAGAAGAAAACAGAGCGACGACTCACGTTGAAGATGAGGTTCTTGTTGACGGCCTCGAGGGCGAGGCCGCCGCGGAAGTGGATGCACCAGACGAGCACCATGGCCGCCGCTGCCGCGCCCAGCGCGTGCGCCGCGTAGGTGAAGGGCGTCGCCTTCACGCCCAGCGCGCCCGCCATCTCGCCCTGCCTGCCTTCTTTCTCCTCTGGTCCCGGGCAGGGGTGGCTCACTCTCTGTCTGCCTGGCCGGCTGGAAGCAGCTCGCCTCGATGGAGGCACGACGAGAGGCGGGGGAGTGAGGAGAAGCGTGTGCCCTGCGCGCGGCCTAGAGCAGAGAGCAGCGAGCAGCGAGCGAGAGGAAAGCCGAGTCTTGGCTTTTGCTTTCGCCTCTTTGGCTTCGGGTCCGTTGATGTGGTGTGTGGACGACTCGGGTTGGTGTATAGGGCGGATGCTGACAAGGCCGGGAAGGCGTCTTCATCCATGCGTGGATCTGGAGAGGTATAGATGGGATTTGACGGGAAGGTTTTACCTGCACGTCTGCATTTCTGTATCCTTCCGTGGGAACTCCCAAAACGGAGTCGCTGGACGGTGGCCCCGTGGGGGTTTACTTATTTGTGCTCCGCCCGTATGGAAGGAGGGTGGCAGCGTGCTCAAGGTTTTCTTTTTGCGACTGTGCAATAGCAAAGACTTTTTTTTTTGAGGGGAAATAGCAAAGACTTTCTGTTAATTAACTATTTAACTATAAGCACAAGAGCACGATCATACTGTCTGGCCACGGTGGCTACAACCTGATGATTAAGCCAAGTAGGCATTTTTTTTCTTTCACTGGAGTTGCTATAATAAGATGGGCGTCGGGCGTTGGATGCCATGGACCATGGTTGATTGATGATTGATCCGTTCCGTCCGTAACCGGCAGAGCCTAGTTCCCGTGATCGTCCCGTCAACCGGATTTGGGGTCGCTGCGATGGGGCACACCGCTGCAATGAATTATCTGCAAGCTGGGCCTGCCCGCCGTGCGATGCCGATACATGTGAAGACGACGAGTTAAGTCTATTTTAAACCTTAATATTGTAGAGCACGACGTAGATAAACCTTGACTTTGAATCCCTGAAATTGATACCCTAACCTTATCGATCCCGGTCTAAATAATCCTTCAGGCAGTTTAAGAAGTGGATTTGATGACGTTGCATTCACAGACCGGGATTGCTATCTTTGACCAAGTTATTGACTAGCCTCTTCATACCTAAAAAAAATTCCTCTGCCTAGTCCATCTCCTTCCTCCCATTCTTGTTCGATCCGCCGCCGCCAGAGACGTTCGACCCCGCCCGTGCCCCTGGCGAGCTCGCGCTCGACCACTGCCCCACACAGGCACGGCTCGCCGTCGCCGGCGAGGACACCGCAGCGCCGCCGCCTTCTTCTCTTTCCTCCTTCGTCTCCCTTCTCCCTCCTCCCGAGCACGCGCAGCGGCGCAGGGCATGCACGGCCGACGACCGCGCCTCCACGGTCTACGCCGATGACCGCCTTCACTGGCCGCCCGTCCAGCTGCTTTAAACCCGCAGGCCATCTCGCTGTTGACTGCTGCTCCTCCTCCATCCCTGCGCGGTGACGTGGGGCTGCCAGTGGAGCACTCGCCGGTGACGGTGACTCGAGGACCGGAGGACGCCGGTACTTGGCGGATCAGCGGCTACGTCAGATCAATCAAGGATTGGTAGTTTGCTATACGTGCATAGCTAGCTACCTGGCAAAACGAAAATATTGCCCCATTGATCAACTAGCTAGCCTCAAGATCAATACAGCAAGCTTTGGTAGCCAGCTTGCTACGTACGTTAGTGTTTTCTCCTGAAAGAATCGATCAAGCGTGGCTTGTGTATTTGCACGTCTCGCCGGAAAGCAATCCACATGTCATACTACTTCGCCAGTGTACGTACGCATTCGACCGCCGGAAAGTAGTCGCCGTGGAGCGATCGGGGCCTAGTCAACAACGACATTAGGCCACGCACGGGTAGCCGCGCTCAGGCACGTCTCCATGATCCCCGTCGCCGCCTGCTCCATTCGCAGTGCCACAGCCAGGTTCGGCGACGCAGCAACGTGCGCATGCACCAGCGCAGGCTTAGGACGTGCACGACTCGAACCCAGAGTCCTCTGGTTTAAAATTTAAATATTAAATATTTCTCTATTTCTTTCTCATGCTGACAGGTGGGCCCCCAAAACATGTGCTGCATAATTCACTCATCCCGGCCTTTTCTGTTTGAATACGGCCTAAAGGTCAAAAACGATCGGGATTGAAGAAGTCAGGGTATCAATTTCAGGGATTTGGATGTCAAGTTTCATTCATGGCGTGCTCTACAACCTCAGGGTTTAAAATAGACTTCACTCGAAGACGACCGGGTTGAACGGAAGGGCGCGCACGTGGTCCACGTACCAGATCGAGAAGCCCTTTATCTGTCGGTCATGATTTCACGTCTGAACCGATTGGAATGGCAGGTAGGTCAACTCATTTATTTTATTCTGTGGAAAATTGTCGATTTATTCATTTTTAATTATGGCAGTACAACAAACACAAAAATAAAAATAAAAATTACAACCAGATCTGTAGAGCACTGGAGCGAGCCGAAGACGCGTCGCCGCAAGCGCTCCTCCCTAGCCGGAGCGGGGCAAAACTTGTTGTAGTAGACAGTCGGAAAATCGTCGTGTTAACGCACCATAGGACCAACGCACCAAAACATCAACCGTAGATATTGAAGAGTAGCATAGATCTGAAGGATCCAACTAAAGACACACGAATGTAGACGAACTACGAGCAAATTCATCAAGGACATATCCGTCGGGCACACACTTCCACACGCACATCAACGATGCTAGAGGCACCACCGGGACGAAGGCTAGGCGAGGAGAACTTTATTCCATCTTCAAGGAGCCACCGTCGTCACGTCTTTCCAAACAGAACACAAACCCTGACAAAACTCAAAGAAACGTCTAGATACCGAGCCATCCTGCCGGCAAAAACCAGGATCCACCGTGCCGCCATGGCTCTAAGGCCATTGGAGAAAAGGCGGACCACCAGCGGCACCGACGGAAGGCAGAGAAAACCGAAAGCGGCTATTCTGCTCGCGAGCACAGGTGAGCACTTTATCATGACCAGCCGATAGCGCATTGGGATGTGCGTCGCTGAATTACTGAGCCAGCGCGTCGAGCGGCATTAAATCGCGAGGGGATGGAATACGGCGTACTGTCGCCGTGTATGCCGCGTCGGGACGGAGCCCGCGGATGGCGCTGTGACTGCCTTTCCCCTGAGCCGTGGCTCGGGACGTCAGCTGGTTACCTGATCCGTGGCTCAGGAAAGCGAATCTCCGTCAGTAGGCGCAGGCCTGGCCAGTAAATGGCTACGGAGGCAAACAACGCCGCTGTCTCCCACCTCTCGCCAGTCTTTCTTGTGTCCGCCATTGACGCCGGCAGAGATCTGCGGAAGAAGGAGTGCACGACGGCGAGTATCGTCGATGGAGTTCCTGATGCAACCAATTAGGAGGTAAGGCAAAAAATCCCTCACCCCCCGTACTCTTGCCCCGCCCCCAATCAGTTGTCCACAGTGATTATGATTGTTCATTGTGTAAGTGGTCCTGATCCATAATGGATTTGTTGGACTGCAGGTCCGCGGTGATGGAGGAGGTGAATGACAACCAGTTGCCAATGGAGCCGGGGCACTACCCAGCGGTTGCGACAGTGACGGAGGAGCTGTCCCCCATGGCCACTATAAGCGTTGACGGGCAGACCTGTGCGGTGGATGGGGCAGTTGCGGCTGAGCGGGATGATGAACCGCAGGCATCTGAGCAATCCATTGGCCAAGTTGATCCAAAAACACCAGGCTGGACTCGCAGGTAACCTCTGACTGTACAATTTCTTGCACTGGGAATTGTTCTGTTCTTCTCTGCTCTAGGATGCATAGACATGCGGGAAAAAAATCGAATCAAATAACAAATCATTTGTCATGCCCTAAGGCTACAGCAGTACAATCTTATGTGTTCTGCTGTGCCTCAACACGGCTTTCATCAGTACTGTCAAATTCCATGTACAAGTATTTCTTGTTGTGATCAACGTTTGCGCACATACAGCACCGGCACTGACCTGACTTTGCTGGTGGGTCAACTGGTAGTTGAATGATGTGAGTCGCATGCACAATTGTCTCGAAATCGATGATAGCCACATCCAACTATGCACCATTTGGAAATTATCAGTTCATACATTTTGATTCTATTAATATATTTAATTCATTTATTCCCACTACAAAAATATGATGCATTTATTCCCACTACAAATATATTATGAAGACAAGCATTTCACGATTATATTAATTTTTTCCTTTATTTATAGTGCTGACTGTTTGCGTCGTACAACTACTGAACCGACGAAGAAAAGAGCGAACCATTAGTCTCCCTTGCCCTGGGGAGATGCCTCTATGTTTTCATACCAGCCGGCGATTCACAATCTGTAACCTACAAATTAGAAAATATGACCGGCGCAGTAGTGATGCTCTATTTTGCAAAAACTAAATTATGATGCATGGTATGCACACCTAATCTGGTATGAAATAACTGGTATACCAAAACTTATAAAACATGGGGGCAAACAGAAAATGTAGGCTGGACTAAAAGTTAGTTGGTTAGACAGGGTGAAAATATTAGTGATCGGGCATGTAGATAATTTTCAGTTGCATATTTTGGGGATTATGAAAGACTGATATAGGAATCGTATGGATAACAATTAGGATTGGTGTGTATGTTACCCCTGACACCATAGCTGTACTGGGACAATATAAAGGATAGCAGTCTTGGGGCGTTGACGAGGCATTGTATATAAAAAGAGTGTGATGAACCGGAAGAACATAATTTATATGGCAAGATTCCAGAAAATGCAGTTTTGAGTTAAACATCCATCATGATGCTGATGTGAATAATCCTTGAGATGCAGGGTTAGAATTGGAGCTGCTGCTCCTGGTAGGGCTCCTTGCCCTGGGCGAACCAGTGCCCTTGAGAAAGCAATTCGGAGGTTTGGTGACAAGCCTGGAAGCATTGTGGTTGTGCCAGAACTGGGCACAAGCTTTGATACACTTGGGGAGGCTATGACGTCTACAATCTCTACTCGTGGGAGAAGGGGTTTGGAATAAGATATGGGAAGAGTAGGCT